TATTTTGACTTTCATCAATATGGTGTTGCTTCTACAAGGAAAATAGCTGGCAATAAGCAGAAGGTTTAAATATTGCTCTATGTGAATATGAAATTAGGATATTAGCTCTTAAGATTAGAGTTTTATAATGATTTTGGCTTGGGCAATTAACTTTGAATTTGGCCTAAGCTCTTTGAGGAAAGGGCATCGTATGAGATTATGGGTCAGAAATATATTAAATCTTGTGCTCTGACTTTGATGAGTGCTATCTATAAATATTTGAGAAGTGATTAATCACTTTTGCATGCTTGTTTATTTAAATATTTGAGAAGTGACATGGGATTTCAAATAGCTACTAATTTAGAAATGTTGATATTTTGCAAAAAGAGAATATTTTGCATACAGAGGATATGGGCATTCGAGAATATTGTTGCAGTGGTGTTCCACATCATGGAATTTTTCATTAATAGATTTTCTTTTAGAATTCGAAGGAAGAGGCAATGTTCTTTTATGCATAGAGTGTTCAAATGATTAATTTCTTTCCAAATATATGATATTTATATATAATGTATTGGATTTTTAATTCCATAAATATAATTTGTTTATTTAATATTATCTTGTTGTTGTCAATAATTATATTATCTTGTAAATAAAAAATAAATAATAAAAAATAACTATATATCATAAAAATGAAGCTACTTAATCTCTCTAACAAATAAGATCTTTATTTGACGGTTCTTACAAAGAATTGTCAAATAATGTCTTGACCTTATTTGATGGTTCTTGCAAAGAACTATCAAATAATGTCACCTTATTTGATAGTTCTTAACCACGAACCGTCAAGTATTAGCAAATTTGCAGTAGTGTTAAACTTGATTGAAAATTATATTTGGGTGAGGATAATGCAGATGAAGTCTAGGAGTCAGGGTAAAGATGGAAATAAGTTAGATTAGATTAGGTTTTAACTAAATAGGCTTGAGCCTCCAATAAATGTAATGGATAGGAATGTAATGTAATGTAATTGTGGTTACAATAAGTTTGTTTGGTACCATGTTAAGAATGGGGTAGCAAAATAATTTTTTTTCATATTTACTTAATTACATATAAAATTAAAAGGACAAAAATATCCTTGTCTATCAAAAAAAAAGAAAGAAGAAAGCCTCCTCTTGCGTCTTGTACTCCTTCCTCATCACAATGAAAATCTGTTATCCTTGATCAGCTTCACTCACGAATCCTTTCGACCCCTTTTGGTTACTAGTTCAGACGGTATTCGAAACCCACCTACCATATCCTCATGGTGTATCATCTCAAGGTACACCACTTTCAAGTTGCTTCACTGGAGACTTTTGATTTGCAATAAAATCCCTTTTTCACTTCAAAAAAGAAGGAAGGAAGGTGGGTGCGTCTGGAGGTTGGGGCTGGATAAAAAAGACGATGAGTGGGAGGAGATGAGAGTTGGGGATTGAGTTGGATGGCAGTGGTGCTCCAATTGTGTCTGACTTTTCCAAGCTAGGGTGATAATGTATTTTCCCCATCATGTAATCTTCATTCATAGGGTCCATCTATGTAATCTGGATGCAGGCTTTTAAGCTAATCAGGATACTAAGATGTAATCTTGTTTACATTGTAAAGCCCAACCAAACAATTGAATTAGATTTTTATATTAAGATTACATGTAATCCTCATTCCTATAATCCAACCAAACATGCCATAAAGCCTGATTTTAAAACTGAGGCTGAGTGTGTGTGTAAATATTTTTTCCCCCTAGGCTTAAACTTGTGCCTTTAAAAAGCTCTACTTAAAATGTAAGCTTTTAAATAAGCTTAAAAGACTATGTCTCAAATATCATATGTAACGCTGGTAAAAAAAAAATCTCATATATAACATTTCAAGCTTATTTAGAAGTTTTCTTAAGCTTTCAAATATGTTTTGAAGCTATAAAAATATTATATGATTTAATTATTTAAATAGATTTAATTTAAACTTATAATAAAATAAAATAATTTATTCATTAAGATATCCCATAATTACAAGTTTACAATAATACATATAGGATAATTTGTTTATAATAGTAAAAGAAGCAATCCTAAGAATTCATCATGGTGGCACCAATAATCTTATATTTCAACATAGTTTCTTCTTTTACTTGTGCAATGAAAATCAAGACGACAATTTTTTTCTACTGAGATAATACTTCATTTGAATGTCATTAAAATAAATTTATAGCAATTATCATGTTTCATCAAATAATGCACATTAAGGAAGAAAGAGTGAGTTAGTATTGTCATCTTTGAGTGATTGAAGAGAGGAGAGAAAAAGGCGAACAACTAATGAATCAAAGAGTTGAGTTTATATATGAATGACAGGATGTGAAACTTAGAATTAAAACTTAGTAATTTTATAAATAGTTTATAAAATTAATTTATAGAGAGAATCCCATAAAAAAAGTTTGAAATTACTAAATTCCAGATAAAAATATATTTTAACTATTCTGGACTTGTATATAATACATAGGAATTTTTTATTCAAAATTTAGTAATTTCAAACTTCTTTTCATGAGATTCTTTCTAATTTATATTATAATACCTCCGGTCCTAATTATAAGAGCCAGTTGACTAATTTGAGGAGATTAAGAAAGTAAGTTGAGTTAGTTATTTGTCCTAAATAGATGTTGCCTTTCCTAAAATATCATTGTTAATAAAGTGTATTGATTAGAACTATCATTGTTAGAAGGATTACTTTGGAAAAAGTATATATAAATATGAGAGAAAAAGTGGATTGGAGTCTTATATTTAGGATCAAAATAAAAGTCAAACAGGGTCTTATATTAAAGACCGGAGGTAGTATATAATAATGCAAACTGAAAAAAAAAAAAACTAAACGCTTAGAAGAAGGGGGGGGGGGGAAGGGTACCGTTACGGCAAGGCAGTGGCTATAGGAAATTGGGAAAGGATAAAAAAAAATAAAGAGGCAGCTGAAAAGAAAAAAAAAAAGGAAAGAGGAGAAACCGATTCTCATTTAAGGGCGTGTTTGTATTTACTTTTATTAGTTTACATAAATCGATACAAAATTTTCTCATATGTTTTTTAATTCCGTAAATAATGATTAAAAAAGTACTTCCAAACAGGCTTAATCCTCCTCTCATCCTTTAGCTTTCCCACACTCCTACAGTAAATTCGAATCTTTTTTTTTTTCCCGGTAGAAAATAAATTGGAACTTGTGATGGAGGGTCAAGTATTTTGACAGTGATTGGGCCGCAGATGAAGTGGGTCCTCGGTTCTGAAGGTCCAAAATAGACATTTATGAGACACCCCATACAATGCTCCCCAACCGACAACCCCAACCCATGCCCACATGTGGACGAAACAGAGACTCCATTATACTATAAGGATCACATTATTGGGTTGTATATGCCTGGCCGAACAAAACAATTGTATCATTTGAGTCACATGTTGTTCTCAATACTTGAACAATTCGTTTTTTAGGCAATACAGCATAATAGTAGTTCACAAAATTTATTAAGTAGTCCATTTTAAATAGGTTTAAATGCATAACATTATCTTTGACAATTATTGAAAGAGTGTATTCTTCATAAATTTTTTATATCTACTTATTATAAATTAATTTAAAGAAAAAGTATTTTGATCTTCAAGTCGTTCTTATGTTTAGTTGTTTGAAAAAAAAAATCAATGAAAATAATTTGATAATTGTTATTTAAATCCAATGTTGATGATCACCCAAAAAAAAAAAAAGGTCAACACACGGGTGTACAGATATCTCTTCATGTCACGAGACTCACGACTCACCATTACTAATTGAATCTTTTGCTTTCCTAGGAATAATTAATTGCCTTAATTTCTTTATATTAATCCTACTTCTACATCACCCACTGGGCCACTTGCTTTTATGAACATTACGGAAAATAGATGCTGAGGTGGCGTAAATCGTATTCGAAAATCCACGTATATTTGGCTTTCATTATCATTAATTTCTTAACCCACGTGTATCTTGCCGTTGGAAAATAATCTCATTTGAGAGGTCATTTGGTATTAAATGTGCGTACCTATTTCAATAGAAATTTCAATCTTAACTATAAGGAACTAATTTATTCTGTCAAACCTTAATTCTCATTATTTTATTAACATGAATGCTAAATAAAAAGACAATAATCGATATAAAACAGATTTGGGTTAATATAATTTTTTATTATTTCTGTTTATATTTATTTTGATTTTGATCCCTAAAATTCAAAATCATAGATTTTAGCTTTTCAAATTTCTTTTTATTTAAAACATTAATCTTTATAAATTAATAAATACCTGAACCATTTTGTCTCTTAAAAATTCAAAACTTATGATTTAAAACTTTAAATATAAAAAATTATATTAACCTAGCAGATCTTATGACAATTTTAAGTTGGCAGCACAGAAAGTTGGCAGCACATACATTGACGTCAAGCCAAGTTGGTTGAAACCGAAACAGTTTTTTGGGCATAGCGAAGTGATAAAAACTTAGAAAGTGTCGAGTCGTTTTCAACTTCCCAGGTCGGTCAAGAAAAAAAAGAAGAAGTCATTTTCACTTCCAGGCTTTCACCGAGAAGCATAAATTAACGGACTGGCGAGTCAAGGTATAAACATGATCCAGTAAAAAATTTACTATTGAAGAATAAAAGGTACTCCTCCGATCCTTAATAAAACCCATTTAACTAATTTGATTAGATAAGGAAGTTAGGTAAGTTAGTTAATTATAAGAAAAATGACACATTTTTCTTAAAACACCATAATCATCTTTCTTAATACCTCATCTTCCTCTTCTACTTGACTATGGTTGAGGGGGTATCCATAGGGATAATTTAGAGAACATTGATAATATGAGAAATGGTCTTATATTTAGGACCAAAACCAACTTAAGAATTGGGTCATATATTAAAGACCGGAGGAGTACAACCACCAAACCAACATTCTACATTTTCTAGGGATCCAGAACCACAATAATATCATCATACACCGCTTCATTATGCATTAATTAATTGTCCCTTCGGGGACATCCGATTATGCATTAATTAATCACTTCCCCCCACCAATCACTTCCACATGCACTAACCCATCATAGCCATAAACATAAAATATACACAGAATCTCAGTGTGCATTGGTCATTCATAATTGGATCTCATTAAATAAGTGTAATTAACTTGTAATTTATTAATTGCCTAACTCAGGTTCTCTCCTGCACTGCAGGGTAATCGAAAGGGATTGAGGAAACAGAATTATCCTGTAGATCCGGATGCACAAAACCGTAGTTACGCATCACCTGATTATCAGCAAAATTCAGAGCCTTCACCATTTTGCCCCAACACATATCTGCCGTATACCTATGATTGTAATTTCCGCTGCAAGGCTGGCACCCCGTGAAGTGCGTGATAAACGGCCTCCGCCAGCTTCCTCTGCCGTTCCCTGCCTCCTTTAGGTACGGTTCCCTCACCGCGCCGTAACTCTCACTCACCTTCTCGGCGTGCCTCCTTCGTAGCCTCTCGTCCTCCCTCTCCAGTTCACTGTATCGCTCCGTAATATTCTCGTACTGCTCTGCTAGTTCCTCCCAGTAACCCTCGAAGTAATACTCGGCTTCCAGATAAATCTTGTCCGCCCATTTCTCTTTCTCTTCTGCGATCAAGTAAGCGAGGCCCGTCTGATCGTCTGACTCCGGGAACTCCTTGTCCTTGAAGGTGGCTCTGAGGGTTTTGCCCCACTGTTCGTACTCTGGCGTTTGTGGGCCCATGCTGGCCCACGCCTCCATGAGGTCCAACGACCACTGACAGTTTCTGATTAAGAACACGCCGGCGTTCAGGCCCGTCCAGCTTCTTTTTTCGTGTATTAGATGGGTCCACCCGTGAACTATGAGGTTGTGATCCTTGTAACGATGCAGCGGGAGTTTGAAGTCCATGTCGGTGAACAACGCGTCCGAGTCGACCCACCAGATCCACTCGGCCTCCGGGTGGGCCAACATGGCTGCCTTCACCACTGGGTACTTCGCCCAGTATGATTTCATTCTTGGATGAAGCAGCGCGGCGTTGTAGAAGATGTCGTAGCCGTGGAGACGACTGTAGTCCACTTTGTTCTTGAAGAGTCTCAGAAGTAGGTGGTCGCCGATGGGATTCCGGCAAGGCGACGGCTGAGATCCCGTCACGAGGAGGATCCTCTCCTGCGCTCCGGGGACGAACGACGGGTGACGCGACAGCCACTCTTTTCGCTTCTCGTCCCAGTTCTTCATCGGTTTGTCCATCGTGTAGCCCATTTCGGGGTCATCGTAGAACGTTTTCTCCGGCGGGTCGTCTCGGAGATCGGGGCCATGAGTGGAGGGGGCGCAATTCGTACCGCCGGAGACAGTTCCTGGGAATTTGAATGATTTCAGTTTAGTGGCGACGGACTCAAAATTGGCGTTTGAAGGAGGGATTGGGGCTATGAATGACCAGAAACCCCAAACCAGGAGAAGAGCGGAAAATGCTCCACCGAGGAAGAGGCAACCATCGGAAAAACAGCCAGAGGATTTGTTTCTTGAGCTGAACTTGGCCATAGAAGAGCTAGTACAGAAATGTGAAGCCTCAACAGATACCATGTTATGCCCGGAGAAAACGGAGGTGGATGAAGTGTATCATGCTTAACGTCTCTTGTGAATCGTCGCGTGATGGAAACTCCTGGCCATGTGAAAGACCATTGTTCGCAGGATTACGAATTAGCAGAGGTCGCGACGGAGAAGATCACAACCTGCCTGAAGCTGAAACCACACACAACAGAGGGTTTTGGGAATGGAAGAGAGTGAAGAAGGAAGCGGAGTTGCCGAGTGGAGAAGCCAAGCCACGATACGCAGTGTCGTTTATAGGAGAAAGAGCTCACTGGGAAAGGGAATGCCTGGTTTCCTGCAAATAGCTAACGTGTTAGCAGTAGATTGCAGGGAGTGATAATAAATCACTATGGACACGTGGAGAGCGACCGACAGTTGCCCCGCCAAATTCCTTTCATTCCGTTTCATTGTCTAGCTTTTACTTTTCACGCTAATTTAATTAATTGATTTGGACTTGGATGTCACAGGAAAAAAGGCGAAAGCAGTGAGGGGCCATAAAAGAATGCATGAGAAAAAGAAGAATCTTTTCTTTTGAACAATTATAATCAAGGTTAATGTTAGTGATGCATATAAATTAAGTACCATTAATTAGGTGTAAAGATAATTTGGATTCCGTGGTATGGGTGCCCAATGAGCTTTAACAAAGCATCTTATGTGCAGCTTTCATGTGGGAAATGATGGGGAATTTTGAAAGTAAATGTGACGTGTCTAATATCTTTCAAATCAATTAATCAAACCGATTAATTTGACACTTTAGCCCGTAAATTAAATCAACTCATTTGGATGTTAGCGAATGAAACAGTTGAAGCGTGCGTGAGTGTATGTTGACAATTTCTGATTTCATGTTAGGCTCCAAAACTGGGAGGCCGTGATTGTGGGCTTGGAAGAAGAATTGAAACTTTTTAGTGATGCATTTTCTACGCCTCAAGTTTCTCCGTCCTTGGAAAATAACATTAAAGATAGGAAGTTATTATTTTTGAATTGTGAATCCCATTTTTAATCTTATACATATGACGTGTAAAGAGTTGCAGGCTGCATCCCTCGTGTTTTTTGAAAAGGTGGGAAAGTGAAAAATAATATCCTTCAATCATGCATTAATTTATGGCCCAACACATGAAAGGAAAAGCCAATATCATCATATAATATATATATATATATATATATATATATTAATATGCGCATTCAAATGCTCAATCAGAGAAAGCATTGAAAACAATCCACACATAATCCAAATTCAATTAGTATATTAATTTTAGACGCCTATTGTCAATAATATTTTCATTTAAAATATGATATGTTATATATGGTATAGATGTAGAAGTTATCATCCGCCAAATATATGCGGCTGTGTATCATATTACTATTATTATTCACAGTCATATTTATCATGTTTTAATTTAATTTGATTAAAAACCTTGATAACATAGCCTCACACTAGTTTGTGCATTAAAAAAAAAAAAGTTTTCTTGTTAAATACTTTAAAATTCCAAATTTGTACGAATAATTTGTAGTGGTGATAAACTTCTGGAAATCATCATATGATGGGGCCCTGTGTTGCACGGGAGCCTCATGTAATAAGTGGCGGTAGGGCTTGTATTCAGTGAGGCTCCTATAAACTTACTAGATGATATAGGTAGATCAGTTAATTTGCTATATTACTTCCAGAAGGTCAGATTAAGAGACTTTCTACTTGAAAAATGTGAGAATGCAAAATATAAAGCTCCTCTCACAAGAACCACCACATGATTCTTCTTCCTTTGAAAGCCAAGAATGCTGAAGTTGCTCCTCCCTTGGCACAGAAGCTCTCATTCTAAGTAAGCCACTAGTCCCCTGCTCGGCTACTCTTCAAAGAACCTGTCTTCCTAGTTCAAGACAAGTTTCTGATATCTTCGGTTTGACTCAATTCGCTTTTGGTTTTATTACTGCCTTCGTGGCTTCAGGACATGCAAGGTTTGATGCCACGTCTTCTTCCTTAATTAAAAAGAAAGAAGAAGAAATCCTATCAGTAAAGGACAAGTCCCTATGATTCTGTGATTCCTTCCCCCTCTTGACTTGGCCTGTCCCAGTGCCATTTGTGAGACCTTAAATGGCAGACTCCGTTCAAGGCCTTTACAATTACTATTTGTTTCATTCGATCTCTTCCTCCCTCATATACAACTTCATATTTAATTTGTTACTTCGTCTTTCAAAAGGACATATTGTATTTATCAATCAAGGGCAGGTATTAAGAGGTTACAAATAATAGGTCAAATCCGAAACTTTCCACGTATATACCTTTCATGCTGCTAGCTAGGGTCATTAGCACATGCAATGGCATTTTGAACTGTAAAAATTAATTAGGCTGGCGATGAAGAGGATGAAGACGCAGTAAAAGAAGGCAGAATAATAGATAAAAGGAGAGTCAATACAAGTCAAACCAGGGATAATCATAAGGGAGGAGGGACACGGCTGAGCTATGAAGATCTCTATGAATGAAACCATAATTGCGAATCACCTGATTATCCCCAAAGTTCAAAGCTCTCTCCATCTCCTTCCAGCATTTCTCCCCATCATAACTGGGATTATGTTCTCCATTACACGGCTGGCACCCTGTGAAGTGCGTCACAAACGCCCTCCTCTTCCTCACTCCCTTCCTTTTCATATACTCTTCCCTTTTCCCTCCGTACCACGCGCTCTCCTTCTCCGCGTGTCTCCTCCTCAACCCCCCCTCTTCTTCTCCATCTCCTTGTACTCTTCCCCAACTTCCTCATACCTTCCACCACTCCCACCCAATACGCTTCCAGTTCATATTCCCATTCCAGATATGTCTTCTCTCCCCATCTCTCTTTCTCTGTAAACAGCTTATAAATCAGCGACGACTGGTCATCTGGTAATGGAAATGGCTTGTCCTTGAATGTTGATTTCAATATCTTCCCCCAGTTTTCGTAGTTCTCACTTATTGGGCCCATCTTGGCCCATTCGTTTATCAGATCCATGGACCATTGGCAGTTCCGGATCAAGAGTGACCCGGCGTTTAGGCCCGTCCAGCTCTTGTTCTCTTTGTCTCCGTATACCATGTTGGGCCACCCGTGGACCACGAGGTTGTGGTTCTTGTATTTCTCCATGGGAAGCTTGAACTCCATGTCTGTGAATATTGCGTCGGCGTCGACCCACCAGACCCATTCGATCTCTGGGTGGGCCACCATGGAGGCCCGGATTATTGGGAGCTTGGCCCAATACGAGTCCATTTTGGGGTGGAGAAGCGCGTTGCTGTACAAGATGTCGTGGCCGTGGATTCGGCAGTAGTCCACTTTGTTCTTGAAGGCTCGCAACAGCAAATGGTCGCCGATGCGATTCTTGCACGGCGACGGCTGTGATCCGGTCACGAGGAGAATCCGATCCTGTGCCCCGGCGGGGAGGGATGGATGGAGTTGTAGCCACTTCCTTCGCTTCTCGTCCCAATTGTTCATCGGTTTCTCGATGGAGTAACTCAGTTCCGGATCGTCGTAGAAGGTTCTGTCGGGCGGCCCGGGCAATCCGTCTGAGCTGGTTTTGTTGATCCGGCCAGAGAAGTAAGAGTGGAAGAATAGCGCCAGGTGGAATCTGGTGGAACACAGAGTCCAGAGGAGAAGGAGAACGAAGAGCGTTGCGCTGAGGAGGAGAAGGCCATCGGGGCAAGGTTTCTTGCGAGGGTTGGGCTTGGCCATTTGGAAAGGATGAAGATTCGATTGGATTTGAAGAAGAGTGTGAGTTGAAACTTATAGTGAGAAGGGTTGGTAAGTGGGAATATCATCAGGATTTGTGAATTCATTGGGTTGACTGCGAATGAGGCAAGTTCAGGAGTAATAATGAGAAGAGATTTCAGTTCAGAGGAAGAAGAGAGTAATCAGTGAGGGGAATTTAATGCAATTGATTTGAGGGATGATGAATGCAGATTGTGATTTTGAGTCTTGAAATCAGTAGCGAGGAGGGCCACTTAGAAGGAAGTTCCATAGCGAAGTTCATCAAAGTTGACCAAGGTTGGGGGCCTCGAGTCTCAACGATAATATGGGAATAAGTTCGTACCGTCATGTCCTTTGCAGTGATTCCGTCGAACATAGAATCAAAATTCAAAATGATGACTAAAAATGCTCTCATCAATAATTCCATTAAATTTGTTACCAAAAAACAAATAATTCCATTAAATTAATAATTAAAATGAAAACAGTAAATCGTTGGCAAAAAAAAGTGAATGTTTTTCAGTTAAATTTATTTTCCTGTTAAGTTCTACATGATTATTTTAAATTTTAATAACATTTAATAAAAATATATTGCACTGAAGTTAAAAATAGCCCCTAGTCCCTGGGTGCGCAACATAGTACCTTTTTTCAAAAAAAAAGAAATTTCAACCGGTAGTGGAGAAAATTTAGATAAAAATTTCATATTTTCTTGTTATATTTTTTTGTGATAAAAACAAACTAACATTAGAACGGTTATAATTCGGAGAATATTTTACAGAGGACCAATACTATATTATACTACCTCCTATCAAGGTTATTAAAATCGCGAGTTTAAACAAACTCGTAATAATGATATAAACTCGGATTGTAAACTCAAATCGTGAACTTGTAAGAGTTTACTTTTATTAATAAATTGGCATTAAAAGTATATAATCAAATAATTAATATATATAAAAAAATGAGAACAATTTCATTTAAATATATTTTAAATTTAAATAATTAAAATTATATCTATTAATATTCATAATTTATCATGTTCAATAAAGAAATTTTTATAAAATTCATATATAAAGTCACTAAACATAATCAAATCCAAAAATTTAGCACGAGTTAAAGAGCGAGTTGACACGATTTAGTAAGCTAAAAACATAAAAATGGTAAATTCGGTAAATAAACTCGTAAGTTTAACCGAGTTTACAGTTATCACGAGTTTAAGAACGAGTCAACACGATTTTGTTAGCTGAAAACGTAAAAACGTTAAACTCGGAGATTCAACTCGTGAGTTTGACAACAATGCCTCCTATCCTCAATATAAAAACTCGTTTGATTTTTATTTTGGTCTTAATTATAAGACTCCAATTTACTTTATCTCCTATATTTATGTATTTTTTTTCAAGATAGTCCTTCTAATGATAGTAGTTCTAGCCAATAAATTTGATTAGCAAGGACATTTTAGGAAAGATAACACATATTTATTACAAATAACTAACTTAACTTATTTTTTTAATTTTTTTAAAATTAGTCAACTAGCTTTTATGATTATGACTGGAAGTAGTATTAGTTTTAGTTTTATAATTAGGGATGCAAAGTTTTTTTTTGGATGTAATTTAGGGTATGCTTAAATTATTTTGGATTTAAAACTAATCTCTGTTGAACTGAGAGTATTTAAAATTCAAGTCCTTTTAATAAATCTGTTTCTTAAGATTTGAATTTGTGATCTATTTTTTAGGAAATGCCACAACTTACCGGTTACCACTCAACCAACAATATTAGCGTCT